CTCTGTATTGCCACAGGAAGCTATCTTTCTACTAAAGAGAAGGCATCCTCACCATCTGTTATGCTCTTCCCTAAAGGTTTTCTAAATGCTGTTTTTGTCTCCCGATTTTGACTAAAGAAAGATTTCCTGCTTTGGCCCTTGTATTTCTATCATTGTCTCATCCACAATTTAAAAAATACATAAATACATAAATCTATTTAGTGTAGATGCTTAGCACACTTCAATCTGTAACAAAACAAGCAGACAAATCAAGACACGTAAATTTCAATGGCATTAGTAAACTGTACGTGTATATATATGTGTGTGTGTGTGTGTACACACACACACACACACAGACACACACACACATATAAAACATTGTGCCTGACAACTGCTGGATTCAAATTCCTTCAAATACAAAGGATACTTACAAAAACCACTTGTTAAGCCATGGAGAAAAATCCTGTTTGTAAATGAACAAATATACTCTAATCCCTTGAATCAAAGAAATTACAACGGGAAATAAAAGCAATAACAGCAAAAGTGTTTATAATATTAAACTTTGTGGGACAAAAAAACCAGATAGTGCAGCAGTAAAATGCAACATTCTGTGAGGCCATTCCACTTGGGAAGGGTCAGATTCAAGTCCAGAGACCTAGTATGCCAGGCATGTGCTTGCCCATGACCCAAGACTAGCTGAAGACTAGAAGAGGATCACAGCATTGAGACCCTGCTGGGGGTTTGTGTGTGTGTCTCTCTCATGGAAGAAATTATTTATTTATTTTTTTAAAAGAACTTTGAAAAATGTATAACCTTCAATACAAAGTAACTTGGGTTTCAGAAATTCATGACACATGGGACCAGCAGTTAGCATAATGGCTATGTCATTGAACTCCCATGTGGCCGACTGTTGTTCGAGTCCCGGACCCGGTGGCTTAAACTCAGGCTGGGAGTATGTACATGCATGCCCGAGATCCCAGGAAGAGAATGGAGGAGAAGGGACTGCAGCATGGTCATCCTCCCTAAGAGGTGATTTCTTGCTTTCTGTCTCTCTCTTTCTGGCGAGCACACATGCCCTATAGCAAAAATCCCCCCCCCCAAAAAAAAAATTCATGACACATTTTTACACAGAAAAACAGAAAAATATTCATGACCATGACTTTTCCAGCAGTCTAATGGTACAGGGCCAGCCATGGTGGTTAAGATGGGTGGACCCCACATGGCCCACTGGGTGGTTTGAGTCCCAGACCCAGAGACTTGAGAAGCATACCAGGCACATGTGCGTGCATGCCCAAAAATCCCAAGAGGAGAATGAAGAAGGGATTACAACATGGCCATCTCTCTGGGAATGTGGGGGGGAGGGTGCTTTCTCACTTTACCTCTCTCTCTCTCTCTCTCTCTATGCCCTATAGCATAAAAAACAAAACCAAAACAACATAAATTTTTGTACAAGCACTTCAAGAAACTAGAAAAGAACAAATTAAACCTAAAGATTTTTTTTTTTGGGGGGGGAGCTTTTTACTATAGGGCACGTGTGTTTACCAGAAAGACAAAGACAGAGAGAGACAGAAAGTGAGAAATCACCCGTCCCGGGGAGGTTAGCTATGCCGCAATCCCTTCTCCATTCTCTTGGGATCTTGGGCACACACACGCGTGCCAGGCGTGAGTTTAAGCCAGCGGGTCTGGGACTCAAACCGTGGTCGACTACATGGGAGTCCAGCGACATAGCCATTACGCCAACTGCTGGTCCCTAAACCTAAAAATTTTAAAAAGAAAAATGAGAATGGAAGTTATTGAAATAAAACCAAGGTGGTATTTTGAAAAGATTAAAATTAATAAAATCAATACTTACAAGCCTAAAGAAATAAAAAGGAGAGAAGAAAAATAACATCTTAACTACAAATAAGATCTTGTACATATTAAAGTGATTATATTATTAACAACTTTATGTCAATACATCTGAAATTTTAGGAAATGGACAAATTCCAAGGAAAACTTACCAAAATGGCACCAAAAAACTAAAAATATAAATAATCTTATTCCTCTTAAACGGAACCTATAAATAAGCTCAAATGGCTTCTCTTAGCAATTTCTACTAAAAACTTAAGGAAAAAAATTAATCTTACATAAATTCCTAAGGGGAATAAAAATGGACATTCTACAACTCAGTAGCTAGGGCCTCATAAATACGAAAGCTTGACATTATGAGAAAAGTTCACAGATCAGTATCACTTATGTTAATTACAAAAATTCTAAGCAAAATGTTAACAAAGTAAATCTAGCTCAATGAAAATAAAATACCACCAGCTGGTATATTGGGTTTATTCACACTAAAAGAGCAAATGGCCTAGTGGCATGGTGGTTAAGGGCGCTGAACTCCTATATGGCCAACCGTGGTTCAAATCCTGGACCTAGCGGCTTGCTTTCTCACTTTCTCTCACTTGCTCACTCTCGCTCTCATTCTGTCCCTATCTGGTCAAATTAAAAAATAAATGAATTGGGACTACAGTTGGCGTAATGTCTATCTCGCTGGACTCCCATGTAGTCAACCACAGTTCAAGTCCCACACCCAATGGCTTAAACTCATGCTGGGCGCATGTGCGTGCATGCCTAAGATCCCACAAGAGAATGGAGGAAAAGGGATTGCTTTCTGTCTCTCTCTTTCTGTCTGGCGAGCACACGCGCTCTATAACAAAAACCTCTTCAAATAAATAAATAAATAAATAAAACATTTACTAAATAATTCTTTAAAAAAATAAATAACTGGCCAGATTTTAAACACTTCCCTACAAATCACCCATTAAACAGAATTGTTCTATAAGTATCTTCTGGGAACCAGCAGTTATCGTAATGGTATGTTGTGAACTCCCATGTGGCCGACCACGGTTCGAGTCCCAGACCTGGTGGCTTAAACTCACGCTGGGCGCATGTGCGTGCGCGCCCAAGATCCCAAGAGGAGAATGGAGGAGAAGAGATTGTGGTGTGGCCATCCCCCCGGGGGGTGATTTCTCTCTTTCTATCTGTCTGTTTCTGTCTTTCTGGCGAGCGCACGCACCGTATAGCAAAAACCTCTCCAGAAAAAAAGTATCTTCTGATAATCTATCTTTAAAATCAGGCTATTTTAATGATAATTTACTATCTTGTATTATTCATTTTACACTTACAAGGATACTTATCAGAGAAAGGACTGATAATGGCTTTGTCATGTTTATGTTGTTTCATTCCATGAAACAAAGATCATTTAATATCCGGCAATGTTAAGGCTGAGAGAAAAATATGAAAAGGGAAGAAAGGTGTTAGGAACTGGCATTTGGAATACATCCAACAAAATCTTGCTCTCATAGAGCTTACAAGAGTGATGAGACTGGGACCAGTAGTTAGTGTAATAGCTATGTCGCTGGACTCAAATGTAGTCGACTGCAGTTCGCGTCCCGGACCCAGTGGCTTAAAGCTCACACTGGGCACGTGTGCGTGCATGCCCAAGATCCCGAGAGGAGAATGGAGGAGAAGGGGTTGTGGCGTGACCATCCCCCCTGAGGGGTGATTTCTTGCTTTCTGTCTCTATGTCTCTGTATGTCTGGCGAGTGCATGCGCCCTATAGCGAAAACCTCTCCAAAAAAAAAAAAAGAATGATGAGACAGGGGGCTGGATGGATTGCACAGCAGTAAAACACAATACTCTGTGGGGCAGACCCACATGGGAAGGGTCAAGATTCACATTTGAAGTCCTCTGAGTACTCAGGGCACCAATATGCCCACAACCCGGCTGACTGAAGTTGTGGGTGAATCACAGCATCATGACCCTGTTGGGGGCTCCGTATCTTCCTCCCTCTCTTTCACTCATGGAGTAAAGAAATTAAAAGTGAGATGAGCCTGATGGGCAATTAACAAAATAGGTAAGCTATAGTATATATATAAATGATTAGACGAATATGAAGTAGGATAGAGAGTGCCACGGGATAGGCTTCACTAAGAAGGTAGCACTAAGAAGTTTTCTCAAAGAGACCTAAAAGAGATGAACAAGATAAGCAACCAAGTCACAGAGGTATCTGGGGTAACATCATTCCAGGAAGAGAAAAAGAACAAGTTAAAAAAGACGGAGACAGGAGAGGATCTTCACTGGCATCGTTAAGGAGCAGCAAGGAGGCTGTTTTTTTTTTTTTTTTTTTTTTTTTTTGAGAGAGATTTTCACTGTAGGGCGCGTGCGCTCGCCAGACAGACAGAGAGAGACATAGAGACAGAAAGCGAGAAATCCCTCCCCAGGGGGGATGGTCACGCCGCAATCCCTTCTCCTCCATTCTCCTCTCGGGATCTTGGGCACGCACGCACACGCGCCCGGCGTGAGTTTTAAGCCACCGGGTCCGGGACACGAACCGCGGTCGACTACGTGGGAGTCCAGCGATATAGCCATTACGCTAACTGCTGGTTCCCAAGGAGGCTGTTTTAAGAGTGGGTCAACAAAGAGGAAAATGGTTGGAGATGAAATTAAAGCCCTTACAGGTGGCTTGATCAATACAGAGATGTAAAGACATCTGACTTTGGCTTTTATGCTGAATGCATGTGGAGCTACAGGAAGGTTTTGAATAACAACAAACAAAACTTTTTTTTAAAAGGTTTTAGCCACAGAGCCTGTGGGTTCACCGAGACACAGAAAAAGACAGTGAGATGAAAAGTGAGAAATTACCCTACAGCAAGGATGGCTAAGAAGTAATCTCTTCTCCATTCTCTTCCCAGGATTTTGGGTACACACACAGACACACCCAGCATGATTTTCCAGTCACTATATCCAGAACTCAAACCACAGTTAGTCATGTGGGAGTCTAGCTCCTTAACCACTACGCACCTACTGGCTCCAAACTGGCGTATTTTATAAAGGTTATTCTATTTTGCTGGGACTAGACTACAGGGGACAAGGTAGAAATAGAAGTCTATTGCTGAGAGAGACACAAGAAATCTTTGAGGGATGAAAGATAATCTTTTACAAGATGGTAGCAGTGACTAGAAAATGGAGATATTCTATTGCCAAAACTCATCAGATTGTACCCTTTAAATCAGGGGTTCTCAACTGAGGGCAATTTGCTTAATTAGTAATGTTGGAGAGATTTTAAGTTGTCACAACTAGGGAAGAGCACTACTGGTACTTAATGGGTAGAGGCCAGGGATGGAGCTAAACATCCTACAGTGCACAATACAACAAGGCAAAGTATTTAACCCAAAATGTCAACAATGCTGAGGTTGAGAAACCATGCTTCAACTGAATGCAGTTTACTGTATATAAACTACAGCTCAAAAGAACTAATTTTTTTTTTTTTTTAAGAGAGAAAGAGAGAGATTTTTGCTATAGGGGGTGTGCACTCACTGGAGAGACAGCAAGAAACCACTCCCTGGGAGGATGGCCACACTGCAGTCCCTTCTACTCCCTGCACGCACACACGCACACCTGGTGTGAGTTTCAAGCCACCAGGTCAGGACTCCAAATGTGGTCAACCATGTAGGAGTCCAACACCTTAATCACTACACCACCTGCTGACCCCAGCATTGATTTTTTTCTTTTTTAAGTTTACTGCAGAAATCCAGTTGAAGGATAGTGGCTTAGACCAGGATGACAGACAAAGGCAATAAGTATTATAGTAGGATTTGAGGTATCAATTTTGAAAATATAGCCAATAAAATATCCTGAAAGACTGTATATGTGGTCTAAGAGACTGAAAGAAGGAAAAGATTATGTCAACTGGAAGGTGATACCACCAAAAGATAATTTTCAATCTATTTTTTTATACCTGATGTTCCATACATCTTTTATTTGTCCAATTATTAAGCTCTTTTGAAGCTGATAATGTGAACTACCTAATACTAATCTCAAATAGTCGAGCCCCCAAATAATCAGGACAAGGGAGATCTACAGTAATGCTGACTGAGTGGAGAGTGGTGTGTAGGTCAGGAACGTCCGGAGAACTACAGTAACATCTATACCTCTGTACCTTCTCCACCAGGATCCGATCTGTCTCTTGCACGCTGGTATCAGGCACTTGCTTGTCCAAGTAACCGACTGGGTACAGTGAGTCTCCCTGGCCACTGCCCCGATCACTCCGGCCCCTAAAGAACAAAATTAAGAGAAGAAACACAACCTTCCACACTTATATCTCACATTTCCTGTCCACCAATCACAGAAATGGAGGTCCTCAGATTCACCTACCCATAACAGATCAAGGCCTTTTCAGTATTCGTCAGTCTCTTGATGACGGGGAGGACTGAAATAAGCATCTTCGAGCACAGAAACAACCTCTATGGCAGAAAATCCACTACCTCCCCAGGTGACCCTGGTGTGCCACCCATCCTTTTCAGAGAGTGGCTGAAGTCCTATTCCGCGGCGCCTGTTCTAAGACGAAAGCTCTCACATGGAGCTCCGTCCGGTGCCTCACCTGCTGCCTCCTCCAGGCCCGCTCAGCTCAATGGCCCACTTGAAGCGCCGGCCTCGGTTGGCCACCAGGCCTCCCTGGGCCGTCATGGCAAACGCTGCCTCCTAACGCCACAGAGATGCTCACTCTGAAGTGTACGCCAGCCACCAGCCTTCTCGAGTCCCCGACTTCTCCGTCTCCCCCTGCTAACCCACTTCCGGCGCATAGTTAAAGCGTCACTTCCGCCCGGAAATGGGCGGTGGCGAGAACCGAAGAGGGGGTACTGGCTGTCAGAAGTTCCAAGCGGCGCGTGCCGCCTTTCCGAATAGTCTCTCGGAGGGTCCTTGAGCTCTGCGGTGTCCTTTACCCGGCAGAGGAAAATCTGCGCAGACTCTGCGTTAGGAATTGAAGCCAAGAAAAGCTGCTTTACCTCCTATACGGTCCCGGGAACACGAGATTCAAACCCTCGGTTTAAATCCTGGCTTTACCATGGACTGACCCTAAGCAAGTTATTTCATAGCTTCAAATATCGAATGCCCACCATGGTTCAGTAGTTTTCTTTTAAGTCACAGTAACCCTGCGCAAAAGCAAGGTGGCGGTGTAGGCGTAGAAAGGTACGTGGGCTGGGAATTCTCATCGCCTCCTTTTTAATCCTGCCCTCACCACACACATACTAATTGTGTAACGTTGGGCAAGTTATATCCATTGTGTGTTAAATTCCTCCTACATAAAAATGGAGTAATCTGCTACTCTCAAGGTTGAGTATGACATTAAATGGAGCCTGGCGGCGGCGTGGTGGTTAAAGGCGGCTAAATCCCACCTGACGGACTTTGCGGTTTCATTTCCCACTGCGCGCCTCAGACACGGGTGGGAGTGCGTGGGTGCCCGGAATCTCCAGCGAACCTACGCGTTCTGTAGCTAATTTCAAAATTTTTAAAAAGAAAGATTATGATACCTTCATGATATTTTGTTAATGTCCTTAATGTATGTCATTATTCATAGTAATTGGATTTTGTATTCAATTGTATACCCATATCGTAATTTAACCTATTATTGGACGTTTCAACTGTTTGTTTTCCCCCTTTTATAACCAGGGTTGCTGTGAACATTCTATTATTAATATATCTTTTCTTGTTTCCTTAAGTTATATTCCTAGAAGTAGAATTGCTGGATCAAAATATATGCATATTTTAAAATAATTTTAATTTAGGGGCCCACAGGCTGCGTGGTGGTTGAAGTGCTGGACTCCCACATGGTGGAAAACAGTTTGAGTCCCAGACCTGACAGCTTGCTTTCTCACTTCCTGTCTCTCTCTGGTCAATTTTTAAAAATTCATAATAATAAATTATTATTTAAAAAATAATCTTTATTTAAAATGCCCTCTGGAAAACCTGACTGTCTTTCCTGCTTTCACATGTGCACTATGTCAAAAACCTTTTGGGGGGGAAAAAAAAAAAGGCCTGGGCCAGCAGGTGGCATGGTGGTTGAGATGTTGGACTCCTACATGGCTGACTGTGGTTCAAGTCTCAGATCTGGTGGCTTGCTTTTTAACACCCTTTCTTTCTCTTTGGTGAATGCATGTGCTCTATAGCAAATTTTAAAACAATAATTCTCAAGAAGGAAAAAATAGTTTCGACCCTTGAATATCATGATTTCCACTTCACTTCATTTTCTAATTTAAAAAAAATTATATGTTGGGGCCAGCCACTTACATAATGGTTACGTCCCCAGGACTCCCACATTGTTGACCACAGTTTGAGTCCCAGGCCTGGTAGCTTAAAAACTCATGCCAGGTGCAGATGCATGTGTGCCCAAAATCCCAAGAGGAGATTGAAAGAGAAGGCGTGGCCATCCCCCTGGAGAGTGAGTTCTCGCTTTCTGTCTCTGCCTCTCTGGTAAGCACACACATATGTTATATGTTAACAATGGGCGATTTGAACAAGACAGAAATGGAAATAAATCCCCTTCATACACAATCCGTTCTAAAATGTCTGTCTGATTATAGGAAGACTCAGCTTTCAAACTGCCTTCTTGTCTCTTTCTACTTTTCTGCCTTTCTCACTTTGTGTCTGATGAACCTTTGAAATTCTTCTCTAGCTTCACGAGGGCTTGGCACTTACCATGTTGCATTGTTTGTTGACATCCCCTGAGCAGTTTATCTGTGTCCCCCTGTGCCCTACCCTAAGTTGATTTTAGGAATCATTTTTGATTCCACGGCCTATTGCCTCGAATATATAAAGTATTGAATAAATGTTTAGTGAATGTAAGCCAAACTGAAAGTAAATACCAGAGTGATATACTACAATTACATTTACATAAAACAAAACATAAAAACTAGTTTCTGTGTGGGGGAAACATGATTAAAATATTAATGTTGTATCAGAGTAATGCTTTTCATACAATTTTATCCAATATTCAAGATTGTCTTGGGACCAGCAGCTGGCGTGGTGGTTAAGGTGCTGGACACTCCTACATGGCCAACCACGGTTTAAGTCCCAGACCTGGCACCTTCCTTTCTTACTTTCCCTCTCTCTCTTTCCTCCTCTGTGTCTCTCTCTGGTCAAATTAAAATAAATGAGTGAATAAATAAAATTAAATAAGTAATTATTATTTTAAAAAATTGTCTTAATGGGCCAGTATCATGGACTGATAGTTGAGGGAGCAGAATCCCACATAGCCAACCATATGGTTCAAACCCTGGTACCAGCAACTTGAAAAACATGCCTATGCTAGGCATGTGGGTGTGTGTTTCCAACATCCTGACAGGAAGGAGAAATGGAAGAGGGGGAATTGTGGCAGTGTGACCATGCCCCATGGGGGGTGCTTTCTCCCTCTCCCTTGGTCTCTCTCTGGCAAGTATGCACAATCTCTGCCAAATTAAAAAAGAAGATAATCTTATTATACTGCAGTAAAATTTAAATGAACGCTTTCAGGAACATTAAGTTGATTATTGGAATCCCATGTTCCTGCTGTTGAATGCACTTTCCTCTTTGCAATGAAAAAATTTAAATTATAATTCAAATCAAAGTCAGCTGGCCTCAGTGGGATACTCCTGGCCATTTATTCCTTTATTCTGTCCTCATAGTGTTATTTGCTAAAATGTGCACCAAAAGCATGAAGACATTGAGACTGAGCTAAGGAAAGGCTCTAAGATCAAATAAATTTGCAAAGTACCATATACTACATTCTGTGCCACACCCAAGAGATTTTCAGTACTGTTAGTATATCATTAAAACTACAAATTATTTAGTAATGAATCTCCTTCTAGGAGGCCAGCAGGTAGTGTGGTGGTTAAGGACGCTGAACTCCCACATGGCTTATGGTGGTTCGAGTCCTGGACCTGATGGCTCTCTCTCTCTCTCTCTCTCACTGTCCCTCTCTTGTCAAGTTAAAATAAATAATGAATAAACAAAGTTAAATAAAATAATCTTAAAAAGAATCTCCTTTTAAATTTTGATTCCCAAACTACCTGAATTAAAAACCCTTTCTAGACAGCCAGTGGCATAGTAGTTCAGGTGACTAGATCCCATATGGTCAACTGCAGTTTGTAATCACAGATATGGTGATTTAAAAAACATCCTGACTGTGTGTGTGTGTGCCCAAAATCCCAAAGAAGAAATGGAGAAGGGATTGCGGCATGACCATCCCTCATGAGGATGCTTTCTTACTTTCCCAGTCACTCTCCAGCAAAGGCATGCAAACTCTAGTCAATTAAAAAATGTATCATTTTTGTGTGTGTGTGATCATACCTGTTAACATCCAATGGAATCAATGTTCTACAGAACACAGTGGGGGCAATTGCTCTTAGCATTCTAGGATTTTTAGGGGAGAGATGAAGTTCATCCTATGAAGTTCTGCTAATATTATTAGAAGATCATTAGAAATGATAGGTCCTTAGGGCCTGATGGTGTACATAATGACTCTGTGAGGCAGACTCACATGGGAAGGTTATTGGTTCATGTCCAGAAACCTCCCTGAGTATGCCAGGTGGGCACATGTCCATGATCCATGCCTGGCTGAAGCTGTGGTGAATTATATTGTCAAGACCCTGTTGGAGTGCTCTCACTCTCTCTCTCTCTCTCTCTAAAGAAAAAAACCAAAAAAAGGAATAATAGGGGCTGGCAGATAGTGTGATGGTTAAGGGCAATGGCTAACCATGGTTCAAGTCCTGGACCTGACAGCTTGCTTTCTCACTTTCCATCTCTCTCTCTCTTACTCTGTCCCTCTTGGGTCAAATTAAATAAACAAATAAATAAAGTTCAATAAAATAATTCTTTTTTTTAAAGGAATAATAGATCATTTATAGAAATAAAGCTTTGGGTTGAAATTAAGCTCTTGAGGGAACCAGCAGTTAGCTTAATGGCTATGTCGCTGGACTCCCACATAGTTGACCGCGGTTCGTATCCCGGACCTGGTGGCTTAAAACTCACGCCAGGCGCATGTGCGTGCGTGCCCAAGATCCCGAGAGGAGAATGGAGGAGAAGGGATTGCGGCGTGGCCATCCCTCCTGGGGGGTGATTTCTCACTTTCTATCCCTCTGTCTCTCTCTGTCTGTCTGGCAAGCGCTTGCGCCCTATAACGAAAATCTCTCAAAAAAAAAAAAAAAAAAGAAAGAAAGAAAGAAATTAAACTCTTGAGAACTCAAATTTTACACAGTTGCATTTTGCAAGGAAAAGAAACCTAGTTATAAGATATTCTAGAAACCTGGGGAATCTGGATTCCAATCCTGATTCAAAATTTCAAAATGAACTACAGCTTGAGCATCCCTAATCTGAAGTCTAGAATGCTCCAAAATCTGAAACTTTGTGAGGGCTAACATGAGGCCATAAGTGGAAAATACCACACCTGTCCTCAGGCGACAGATTATAGTCAAAACACTGCAATTTAAAAATATTGTGTAAAATTACTTTTAGGCTAAGTACATAAAGTTTAGATAAAATAAATTTCATGTTTAAACCTGGGTCCCCTCCCTAAGATACCTCATTGTGTATTAGCAAGTGTTGCAAATTCTTAAAAAATCCAAAATCTGGAACACTTCTGATCTCAAGCATTTTGATTTTTAAAATTTGTTTATAAACCAGAGAGTGTGCATATACTCACCAGAGACACAGAGGAAGAAAGCGTCCCCTAGTGGGGTATGATCACACCGCAATCCTTTCTCATTTCTTCATCCTGTTGGGATTTGGGTGGGGTATGTGCGCGCGCGAGCGCGTCGTCCTGATGTGGTTT